CCACATTATTTGAAACCATGTTTTTTATATATGGGAGTATTTCCAGAGGACAGAGAGATTCAAGTCTCAAAATTAACATGGTTGTGGATAGCCGAGGGTTTGATTAACACGGACATGGAGAAGCTTTCTGAGGATATAGCAAAATTTTACTTGGAGAATCTTATTGGGAGAAATCTAGTGATGGTTGCTAAAAAGAGCTCTGATGGAAGCATCAAAACATGTCGCATTCATGACCTGGTGCTTGAATTTTGCATGAAGAAAGCGAAGTTGGAGAACTTTTTAGAAACGATAAGGTAATAAAAACATTAATTAATTTTACCTTTTCAATCTATAAAGCTCCTTCTAATTATACCTATTTCTCCATTAACAGGGACAGAGGTTCACATCCTTCTCAATTTTTCCCTCCAATGTGCAATACTTCACGCCGCTTATGCCTTTATTCTCACAGTGAAAATCTTCCAAAATGGTGTTTGTTTTTCTCCCATGTGAAATCTTTCCAGTTCAGGGAGGCAAGAAATATTGCATTCTCTTCAATAGACTGTGTTTCAAACACTTTTAAAAGATTCAAGTTTCTAAGGGTGTTAGACTTTGAATTCACCATTATTGATTCTATCCCACAAGAATTAACCCTTTTGAAGTATCTTGCTTTTCGGACTGCAGAAGATGCATTATCACTCCCGGACAATCTTCGTAACCTTGAAACATTGGTAGTTCAAGGACTTAGAGGACGAGTATCACTATCAGATACCATTTGGAAGATGGTTAAGTTGCGGCATCTTCACATCTATGATCGAGCATTCTTCACTTTGAACAGTGGAGAAAAATTCTCAGAATGCGACTCGACAATGGTTAATTTGCAAACTGTTTCCTCAGCATGTTTTTCTTGTGTGGACAATGCCGATAAGATCCTTGAGAAGGCACCAAATCTTCGGAAACTGAGATGTGAAGTTTCCAAATTTGATGGCTCGTTTCCTGCATTTAGCACTCTTACAAAGCTTGAAATGCTCAAGGTTTCTTCCGGTACTACATTGACTTGGATCAATCAGTTGAAGTTACCATCAAGCTTAAAGAAGTTGACACTGTCCAATTTTCGCATACATCTTACTGAAGTTGCAACCCATCCAAAACTTGAGGTACTCAAGCTACTAGGAGTTACCATTAGTTCCAATGTATGGGAAGTGAATGATGAGCAGTTCCCTCAACTCAAATTCTTGAAATTAGAAAATCCTTCTTTTTCAAAATGGGATGCCTCAGATTATGCCTTTCCATTCCTTGAACACTTGGTATTGAAAAAATGCCGCTATCTTAAGGAGTTCCCTCCTCGTTTTGAGGATGCCTCGTCTCTGAAATCAGTTGAGATAATATCGTGCAATGAAGAACTTGTCAAGTCAGCCGAGGCCGTCAGGGAAGAATTAGATGGAATGTCGGGAAGCTCTGGTTTCAAGGTCATCATCCGCAAGCAGCAAAACAATAGGGTACGTTGTTGATCCAGTGCAACAGGAGCTTATTGAGTATTCGTTTTGACGCCCTGTTCGAGCTTAAAACTTCTTCTGCTACACTAACTTACTTCTCATTATGAAATGGTAGAACGATCATTCAAATTATGATGATGCTTTCAGCTCTACCAGTCAAAGGTGGACTACATCTAAGAGTCCTTTTGTCAAATCTAAATTTAGGAAGCCCACATTGCTAATAACTATTCTCTGCTCAGGCCAATTAGCTTCATATATTCAACTCATGACAGAGTACTGATGGTTGGAAGCTAAAATGCTAATTTTCTGTCTTTATAATCCATTCTGTCAGGACTACTGAGTGAAGGTTATTGCAGTAGATAAAAAATAAGCAACTTTATTTCAAATCAAATTGAAATAGTATCAGTTAGCCATGAAGTGTTTATTTCTTTTAGTTTGAATGATCATATTTTAGTTTAAACCACAACTTACGGTGTCGCGCCCTACTAATTTGTTTATTTCTTTTACAGATTTGAAGGAGTTGTATCAGCTGATCGATGCAGTTGGTGAAACCAAGAAGCTCTAATAAGATGTATGAAGTACTAGTGAATTACTGGTGGTATCACCTATGGTATTCTGCAATGATTTTAATGCTTTCTTTACTTTTTATGGATTGAGATTGCTTGAATGGTCAATAGATATTATAAAAGCATGGTGTTTCCATCTGTCAATTTTTTATTTATGGTTCATTAATAATTTTGTTACGAGGTTTATTTCCTCTTTTTCGTGTTGTGGCTAGTTTTGAGTTTTTTGCTATTCTAACAAAATGAAATCCATATGTAAGACATTAGGTTGGTCTAAACTTACATCTGAAAATATACCAAATTACTATTCTTCCTTCATCTTCGTTCTTAGTTTTACATTTTTTTGATGGACATACGGATTCCCAGGTTCAGTAATATCAATTTCTCTCACCATCCTACAGTACAGAACCAACCCTAATTGGATATGAAGAAGAATTAATCTTTCAGATCAAATCTGTCCTAATATAGATGGATTGGTTTATGATAGCTTAGCCCTCAATGAGTAAAACGGTTAGGTCTCAGAATGTGGATATGATAACTGGTGGATCTCTCACATAGTATAAATTTGCACTTTGTGATGAAATTCATCACCTCTGATACAGAAGAAAAGTTCGACGCTAAGACTAAGGAATGAAAGCAATCACCTATCCATATGCAGCTCGATCCTACCAAGGTTTTAGATCACCAACTGGACCAGCAGTCCAGTTTAATAAGATGTTGTAGCCATATATGTTCTTGTGATGGGGTAATTTACGAGCAAGTCCATTCAAAATTTGGTGGAAAGCCTCACCTGGTTGAGCAGGTTGTAGAAATAACATTGCCTTCTTCATTGCAGGATTGGCAAGCAATCTCTGTTTCCTCAATATTTCTTGTGGTTGAATAGAAGTGAGAGTGTTATCCAAATACGGAACATCCTTCTCTGCTACAAACACTCCGATATCTTCCCATGGAATTGCATCAGCAAATGGCAAGACAATATCATCTGCTATTATAATGGGGATGCATCCGAATATAACAGCTTCAACCAATCTTGGACTCCACGGAGCCCATCCAAGAGGGCACAAGCAAAAGATAGCTCGTTGCATGTCCTCGTAGTATGTTGTTGGATGGTCTGTAGAAATATCAAAGAGAGGATTGTCCTTAAAGTTCTCCCACACTGCTGCTCGAGCACCTCTTGCATAGTACCCGCCTTCAGGATCATTCCTATCGTCATAAAACAAGCCTCGGAAATAAACAAAGATGGATCTTGGTGTATCAGGAGGGATCAAGTGGGATTGAATTTTGTGTGATGGAGCATATGGAGGAATAGTTATTGAGCCATTTTTCAAACAAACATGATTACGTTGCCCGAAAGTTTGAACCAAGGTAGCATGCTGCAGCAATGGAAGAATTCCTCTTTCAATAGCTTTCTCTTCTTGAAAGTGAAAGCATGCACCAAAATCATGTGGTACAATAAAGAAGTGATCCGCGCCTTGTGTCCTGTTCCAGTATGGCAAGCTAGAAGCTATATGCTGAATCGCGCTTCTCATCATAAGTGGTGACTTGAAAGGTAAAGGATGACCATGTGGTGTCAAGTACTCACAAGTTGTGTAAACTGGAGTATAAAACCAATCCGCGTCCTCTGGATTAAGGGTTCGAACAGGACTGGATAACAGGAAACGATGCATATATATCTCGGCTGCAAACATGTGATTCAGGCATCGCGAATCTCTCTGAAGAGTTTTCTTGTTGTATTTGCTGGGAAGTTCATATACATAAACTTTTAACCTTCCTACTGGATTATCTTCCAAAACATCACCAGCAGTTCCTGAAATTCTTTCACTGTGTTGATCAGTCCTATGAAATTCTAAGGCTTCAATTCTCAAAATGAAAGCAAGACAAAGAAATCCAAGAAAGCCTCTACTCCAATTTGTCATCTTCTACTGTAGGGGACAAAAACTATAGCACAGGCAATCAGAAAAAGATTTGAGTCAAAAAGAAGAAAAGATGTGTAACTTTAAAAGATGCGTGGTGCTTTCTGCCTCAACTACAAAAAGAATTGTTGAGGAGGCTATATATAGTTGGACGCTATCATGTCACTGAAATGATATCTATTGGAAAGCCATCTTAAAATATAAGATTTGTAATTTTAAAAATAAGACAGGTTGAAAATTTCTTGAACTAATGGTGTATATAACTTAAACTTTATAGCTGGAATGTGGATAGACAAGTTAGGAGTAATCAATAGTTAGAGTGTCACTAGACAAAGGTAGTAGGAATTAACAGTTGAAGTGTCACTAGGCAAGTTAGGAGGAATCAACCGTTGGAATGTCACTAGACTAGGTAGTTAATCCTTATTTTATGATGCCAGCTTGAGATTTTTTGATAGTGTAAATTCTTTAGCTTAGGGCCTACAAATAGAGAACAAATGAAAAACAAAGATGACAACTTAGGTCAACACCTGCAATGCTTGACAATAAACTTTCTTTAGTGTACCCTATTGTCCCTTAAGTCCCTTTCACTCTCTTATTATTGTTGGTCTTATTTTGCCTTTGACCACGAGCTTTTCTTTGGTATCCTATTTTTCCTAAACCTTTCTTATTAATGAAACTAGTACAGTACTGCGCGATGCACGTGTTAGAGAAACAAAGTATTAAATATTATTGCGTTATTCTAAAAGATAAGAGAAACAAAGTATTAAATATTATTGCGTTATTCTAAAAGATAAATATAAATATTAAGGATAATCGAGGCAATTGGCACAATGACAAATGTAAAGTTATTTCTTTTATATAATGAGAATTAATAAAAAGAGTCGCTTACCTAATCTCTTAATCGAAAAATAGTCAGTGAAGGTATAATATATATACATACATACATATATATATATATATATGTGTGTGTGTGTGTGTGTGTGTGTGTGTGTGTGTTTTTGTGTGTGGGGGGGTGTGTGGGTGGTGTGAGTTTGTTTGTGTGGAATTAAT